GAGGATTGAACATCTTTGAACATGTCTGTTGCAGAAGTCTGTATGCCTTGGGCCAATAATTTATTGGAGGCAAAGGCTTTGAAATGAGTGTTCTGGACCTGCTAGAAGGAACATTGATGATAGGGATGCTGTTGCCGTTTCTATAGGATAAGGTGTGGGGGTGAAAATCAAGTGATCAGGTGAACAGCTAGGAATTATGGAGTTGGGGAGGTAGATTTTATAACTAGAAGGTCACAATTTTTGGAAAGTAGGAGAGGGGGCAGAAAAAAGATTTGAGTGTGGAGGTCAGACTAAGTGAGGACATGCAGCTTTTCAGAGAATGAAGTGAATTATTTCTGATGATGCAAGGTGGCATCTGAATGCCACACTATGTGGCCATTCTTTTTATTTTTATTTTTATTTTTTTTAACTTTTTATAATTTTTATTTTTGTTTAAAGTATTACAAATGTCCCTTTTTCTCCCCAATGACCCATTCCCCCCCGTTCCTTCCCCCTCCCCAGTCACTCTCCCCACCATTGTCCGTGTCCTTGGGTTGTGTATATATGCACATAAATCCTTTGGTTACTCTCTCCCCCTCAATCCCCCTGCCCCCCTCCATCCCTCTGACATTTGGTCAGTCTCAACTATGCTTCCATGTCATTGAATCTATTCTGCTCGTCAATTTATTAAGTTCTTTAGATTCCACGTATAAGTGAGATCATGTGATATTTTTCTTTTGCTGCCTGGCTTATTTCACTTAGCATAATATTCTCCAGGATCATCCATACTGTCCTAAAGGGTACGAGCTTCTTCTTCTTTACAGCTGCGTAGTATTCCACGGTGTAAATGTCCCACAGCTTTTTAATCCACTCATCTACTGATGGGCACTTGGGCTGTTTCCAGATCTTAGCTATTGTAAACTGTGCTGCTATGAACATAGGGGTGCATAAATCCTTTCTGATGAATGTTTCAGGATTCTTAGGATACATTCCTAGGAGCGGAATCACTGAGTCAAAAGGCAGCTCCATTTTTAATTTTTTGAGGAACCTCCATACTGTTTTCCATAGTGGCTGCACCAGTCTGCATTCTCACCAACAGTGTACCAGGGTTCCCCTTTCTCCACACCCTTGCCAGCACATGTCATTGTGGCCATTCTTTTGAGGAACAGTAACCAGGCCACAAGGGATGGACAGAGGCCACCTTCCCTGGCACCCAGCCAGTGTGGGTTGAATGTGCTAACACTAGTTTCTCAAGACTGTTCTCCACACCACCTCCCCTCTAGCAGATGGTGCTTTTGGCCCGTGTTAAAGACACAGTATTCTTTTTTCTTTTCTTTTTTTTTTAGAGAAAGAGAGGAAGGGAGAGGGAGAGAGAGAAACATGGATGTGAGAGTGAAACATTGATTGGCTACCTCCTGCACGCCCCCTACCAGGGACTGAGCCCACAACCCAGGCATGTACCCTGACCAGGAATCAACTGGCAACCTTTCTGCGCATGGGATGACGCCCAACCAACTGAGCCACACCGGCCAGGGCAAAGACTCAGTATTCTTGCTGCTGGGGTGGGGATAAGCTGGTATCTATCTTTCCTTTAAAGCAAAATTGTTAAATCATGTTTTGAGTTTAGAAAACTATTGAAGCAGTGGGCAGCAGATTACTTTTTGGTGTGGTTTTTATAAAGTGCATATTGTTAGCAATATACATGAGCCATTGTATGCCTGCCTGCCTGATTCTTTCCTTTGGATTTTTTTTACTCACCAAGTATTTGTTGAAAACCTATTATTTTGGGGGCCCTGGAGCTACAACAGTGAAGCAAGACAGCTGTTGCCCTTGCCCCTGGGGCCAGAGTTGGACCCCTGCAAGCTAGGCAGATGGAATTAGGGCTCTCATGCAGGACTGAGGTTAAAGAGGGTGGGTGGGGGGTGTGCTGAGGGGAAACTGGCACAAAGTCCTGCCAAGAAAAAGAAAAGGCCCAGGTGGCACATGCACATGTGGAAGCCGCTTTCCCTTTCTCCTGTATTTTTGAGAGATGTAAAAGTCCTTGTTGCTTGAGCAAGATTACACTCTCCTAGAATGTGCAGTTATTATCAAATAAAATAGTTAATTATCAGATTGAATCACGTACTTAGTCACTGTTGTACCTGATAATTAGGTGCTGCAAGTTTACGTAATTCATCACAATTGATAACCTAGTCAACCAGAGTGCACTTGCTTTTGTCTTTGCCTATTTTTAGTTTCAGCTCTAAGCAGCATGGGGGCTCCAGTCCTTGGGTGCCTGGGGTATGTCTTCAGCATGGCCAAGTGCACCTGCCACCTGTCTAGAGGCTTTGGACCTTTTACTGCACCCTTCCCTCTTCTAGGCAGCCCAGAGCTCCCATTTCAGTACCCTCTCCTCTCTGTATCCTGAGTGCTGAGATATGGAACAAACCTTGGCTTTCAGGGTCCTCAAAGAAGTGGAGCTCAGATGTTGTTTCTTAACAGTCTGTCAGACAAGGACAGAGTGGAGGCTTATTCTGCAGCTGGCAAAGTCTACCTTGGTCCCTCAGTGAAAGGATGCATAGCTGATCAGCCTTATGCCATCTCTGGTCTGTGCTATTTCTACTTTGTTCATATCATTCCTTGATCTAGGGGCCTTTCCTCTCCCCCACCCAAATCCTGTCTGTTGTTGAGGTTCCTGGGTAAGCCCTCGCTTCTCTAGAGAAACTCTCTAAATACTCTTCTCTCCATGTGATGACTGCCTACATTTGCATTCTGGACTTGATGCATCCTACAGTCAATCAGCATTATTGGAGAGGGGAGTATATCTGATTTGGAGTCAAGGAAAAGGTCCCATTTTCTATATATTCTTTTTCTTATCTATTTTTCAGCTTTATTGAGGTATAATTAACAAATAAAATTGTAATGTATTTAAAGTATACAACATGATGATTTGATATATGCATATATTGTGTGAGGATTCTCACAATTAATACATCTATAACACCTCACAAATGTACCGTTTATTTTTTTGGTGAGAATGCTTAAGATCTATTCTCTTAGCCAATTTCAATTTTGTAATACAGTATTATCAACTAGAGTAACTATGCTATTCATTAGATCCTCAGACCTTATGTACCTTACAACTGAAAATTTGTACCCTTTTGCCAACCTCTCCCCATTGCCTTCACCCCAGCCCTGGCAACCACTGGTCTACTGTCTGTTTCTATGACTTTAACTCTTTTTTTTTTTTTTTTTACGATTTCCCATATAAGTGATACCATGCATGTCTTTCTCTGTCTGCTTATTTCACTTTTTGCTATTTATTTTCTAAGCATTCTTGGAGAACATCAGTAAGCTTCAATAAAATATAAGTACAGCCCTGGCAGGTTTGGCTCTGATTAGAGTGTCGGCCTGCAGACTGAAGGATCCCGGGTTCAGTTCTGGCTAAGGGCACATACCTTGGTTGCAGGCTTGATCCCCGGCCCCAGGGCTCATGTGGGAGGCAACCGATGGATATGTCTCTCTCACATTGATGTCTCCCTCCCTCTCCCCCTTTCACTCTTTGAAAAAGCAATGGAAAAAATATCCTCGGGTGAGGATAAAAAAATGAATTAAAAAAAAGTACAAGTACAAACAGTCCTATCTAATATTTACTGAGTGCTATGCTAAAAACCTTACCTTCCGTGTTCTCATTTAATTCTTCCTGTCATTAATCCCATTATATAAATGCTAAATCTAAAGGAAAGAGAAGGTTTAGAAAGATCATGTTGAGCAAACCATTGTAATATCTCAAAAGATAACAAAGATGTAACTATATGCCTAGAGAAAACTCAGAAAGGATATGTACCCACACGTTAACAATGCTTATATTTGCAGAGTAAGATAGAGATTGGTTTTTATTTTCTACTTTATAACCTTTGAAAAGGACCATTTCTTACACTTCTTTGTCCCTCTTGACACCTGTTTCTGGGTGGAGTAGACAGAAAGAAAATGCTCAGTAAATAGATACTGGTGGAGGTAGAAAATGAAGGTCTGTTCTGTGTTGGTAGCTCTGTGCTGCTTTTCATGTGGCAAGTCCCCAGAGGAGCTGCCCCTTTGCACTGAAAGAGCTGAGGCCTCCAGGATATGAGCTTGTCAAGTTGTGGCGCTGTTTCCTTGGCTGATGGAGGCCCAGTCCTGGCAGCAGGCAGAAGGCACTGATTGGCCAACTTGTGTTATTTCCTTTAGCCTAGCAGAGTCTGGAGTAGGCCGGAGACAGTCTGCTTGCTTGGTGACTCAGTGTAGCTGTTGCAGTTTGTTGGGTACCTTTTGAGCTGCTCTGCTTTAAAGTGGAGCTGTTCCAAATAGCCTGGCTTAATGGTCTAGTTAGTGCCTTGCTCCGCTGCCCTCTGCACGAGGCAAACTCACCTTTAACAGGAAGGACTGCCTGGCTACAAATGTGCTTGCTGCCAAATCAGAGCTGTCGCACCTTTTTTTTTTAAGCTTATCTTATGATTATTTATTTTATGGTTTAGGTAACTTCTAATTTTGATTTAATTTTAAACATACAGAAAAGTTGGAAGAACAGTACAAAAAACTCTCGTGTACCTTTTAGGCAGATTGACCATTAGCATTTTGCCTCATTTGCTTTACTTGCTTGTGTTCTCCCTCCCTCCTTCTCCCCCTGTAAGTATATGCATGTACACACACACATACATTGGACAATAAGTTGCAGATGGTCTGCCCCTTTACTTTTGAATACCTCAGTATGTACTTCCTAAAACAAAAACATTATCTTACATAATCACAGTACAGAATAAAAAAACAAGTTCAACATTGATAGAATGCTATTACCTAATCCACCGCCCATAATAAAATTCTGTCCATATTCACATATAGTCCCAGCAACAGCAGAGCTTTATTTAGAAAGAAAACACCCCTGAGGTGTGTGGGTGACTCCTCGGTTAGGTGGCTTTAAGGAGAGGAGAGGAGAGGAGTCAGCAGGTTATGTGGGGAAATGACTGCCGTGGGTGCCACATTACCTGCTCCTTGTGTCTCTACAGGGCCAGTGGAGTAAGGGCAGCAAGAACCACATTCGACAACAATGTTAATGGAGACCTCAGATGGGGTAGAAGAGTCGGAGAAAAAGAGCTCCGGGGCCCCAGAAAGAGAAAACCACACCAGGTGAGTGATGGGGGCTGGTCTGTTGAGCCAGGCCTGCCATGCCCAGCACACTTGGCTGTGTGCTGGAGGCACCAGGGTCAGGACCTGTGCTGCTGTGGCCCTCAAAATGCCTGGCGGAGACAGCAGATAGCACCCTGGGCTGCTTAGCACTCTCTCTGTGTGTCCCTGAGGAGACAGGACAGGCACTACTAGGAGTGCTGAGTAACATAATTTGATGGTGTTCCTGGTCCTTTTTCTTCTAAAACCCTAAGTGTTTTGTCATTTGGGGAGAGAAAGAGTAATTAGAGGCAAAGCTGGCATCTTTTCCAGTATCTTTCACAGACCCTTAGAATGTGGGAGAACTCCAACTCCCGGGGGTTTTCTTACTGGGTAGGACCAGTTCCTCTAAGCCTTAAGTTACTGGGGCCTGTTCTTCATTATTTTTATCCTCTCATTATAGCCCTGTCATTGGCAAAGTTCTTTTTGTGTTGTTAAACCTCACCCAAGGATATTTTTTCCATTGGTTTTCAGAGAGAGTGGAAGGGAGGGGGAACGGGAGAGGAGAGAGAGACACACACGTTGATTGGTCACTTCCTGCATGTACCCTTTCTGGGGCTGGGTATCGAACCTGAGACCCTTCAATGTGCAGGCCAATACTCTAACCACTGAGCAACACTGGCCAGAGCACAAAGTTCTTTTTTTTATATCTTGAAATAATTGCTAATATTAAATGATTGTCAGAATGTGGGTGATATGAGCTAATCTGCTAAAGAAACCAGCAGAAGCTGGGCCATGAGAGGTCAAGTTTTTCTTATTCTAGTAGACATATTGTGTGTACACATGACGAGCCCCTGTCCAGTGCCTCTATCTTTAGGGACATGCATTCTCTGCTTTGTCTGGTACTGGCATCGATCAGTACAGTTCCATCCTGTATAATTATGTTAAGCAGCACACACACAGGTCCTGCCTGACTCCAACCATCCCAGCGTTTGTCTCATTCTCAGCAACATGTAGTCCTGAAGAGGCTGTGGATCTAAGGTGGGAGGAAGGCAGCAAGGTTATGCTAGGAGATCCACAGTCCTTCACAATGGCGTGCATTCTAGGAGACACATTCCCAAAGGCTAGCTATTCCCTGGAGAAGTCAGCAAATGCTGTGCTAAGAGGTGTGTTTCTTTGGATACTAGGTGGCCACAGAAACAAAGCATTGTTCATTTGGGTGGTTCAGACAGGACACTGTTGAAAGGCAGGCTACAGTCATCCTGCATGTTACCCAAGTCCTTGGGAGCAGACTTATATCTTGTATGCTCTGTGCTTCCTGACAAGACCCTGTGTCTATGCTGGAGTTGAGTTTCTGAGCAGCCCTGCCTACCATCTTAACAAGCAGACAAGCTGGAGCTGAGAAGGGCTAATTCATGAACGCATACATGCATATGTATACACATTCACCTGGTCTCTCTACAGCAGCAATTTTCAACCGGTGTGCTACAAGAACTTTTAAAACATGTAATACCTGACTATTTAGCCAGGGGCAGTGACCTCTTTTCCCTTAGATTGTCAAATAAAAAACTGATAACAGCCAACACAATAGCTATCTGGTGTGACTGCCCTGTCTTGAACCATAAATATATAGTTCATATAAGAGAGTTGCATTTTATTGGTCATGTCGCATAATAAAGTTGTATCTGATTGGTTAATTCTTGGTACCAGAAATCATTGTGTAAAAGCATAGGCACCTGATTTTTTAAAAAGTCACTTTGGAGCTAAAAGTAATTTCTGTTGTTGTTGTTGTTGTTGTTATTTGTAAATCAAAATTATATCTTTTTTTTTGTTAGATCGACAAAAAATACATTTTTTGGTGTGCCACAGAATTTTAGTAATTAGTTTATGTGTGCCATGAGATGCAAAAGGTTGAAAAATCGCTTCTCTATCTACAGGATGGCTGACCTCTCTGAGCTCCTGAAGGAAGGGACCAAGGAAGCACATGACCGGGCAGAAAATACCCAGTTTGTCAAGGACTTCTTGAAAGGCAACATCAGGAAGGAGTTGTTTAAGGTTTGTGCCTTGGTCATGGATGGGGTCGGGTTGGGGGCGTTATTCTCATGAGAAAGGTCCCTTTGGTATTGCTCCAAGGGGGAAGCTAGGCCTTTCTTACACTCTATTCTTTTCTGATGTCAGCCTGTAGTTTTTATGGCTTAAGTGGAATAACATAGTGAAGTAAAGAAAGCAAAAGTATCCATGTCTGAAGAATTCACCATGTCATTCCTTTAAGAAACATGAGTTTCCTGGGTGTGTGAAATAATTCATTGTAAAAAAAATGGGCCTTTGGGGATTAGAAGGTGGGTTGCTGCTCGAACCTTTGTCTTTAGCTGCTCAGACAGTGGTTAGTGGGCTCAGGAGCTGCCAGCCAAGACTCACAGCCCTTTCCATGGTCTCTCCCTGTCACCCTCAACAGCTGGCCACTACTGCACTTTACTTCACATACTCAGCCCTCGAGGACGAAATGGACCGCAACAAGGATCATCCAGCCTTCGCCCCCTTGTACTTCCCCATGGAGCTGCACCGGAAGGAGGCACTGACCAAGGACATGGAGTATTTCTTTGGTGAGGACTGGGAGGAGCAGGTGCAGTGCTCTGAGGCCACCCGAAAGTATGTGGAACGGATCCACTACGTGGGGCAGAATGAGCCGGAGCTTCTGGTGGCCCATGCCTATACCCGCTACATGGGGGACCTCTCGGGGGGACAGGTGCTTAAGAAGGTGGCACAGCGGGCCCTAAAACTCCCCAGCACGGGGGAGGGGACCCAATTCTACCTGTTTGAAAATGTGGACAACGCGCAGCAGTTCAAGCAGTTCTACCGGGCCAGGATGAACGCCCTGGACCTGAACCTGAAAACCAAAGAGAAGATCGTGGAGGAGGCCAACAAGGCCTTTGAGTACAACATGCAGGTACTGTTGGGGGCTGGGTGGAAAGTGTGAGCTGCCCAAATGGGCATTGGTGCATTAGGACAGATGTGCTACAGCCAGCTGGAGAGAAAGTTGAGGGACCAAATAGGCCACAGAAAGCATGAGCCCAGTGATGGCTCTGCCTTACTTGATAGACCGCCTCTGCTTTGTTTTTGGGAAGGGTGAGGCCTCACCATGCAGTGGGCTTGGGGAGAATGGAGTTTTCCCCCTCCCTCTCACCACAGGATTCTGGTTTTGAGGAATGGAGTCCTTCCTTTTTAGCATGGATTGCTGTGAAAACTCTTGCTTGCTGAAGTTCAGGGAGAGAACCAAGGAGAGTGAGGAGCATAACTCAGTTTATAAGTACCCTTTAGATGGGGCTGATTCTGTTCCCAGAACCCAGGTGAGCCCAGTAAATTGGCCCTGGGAGGGGAGTGAAGCACTAGCCTGATCACAGGCCCGCTGGCCGTCTAATCTGACATCATGCCTACAGGGTCCACTCAGGATAGGTCAGCCCTGCTGGGGCCTCATTCTTCCACTTTCCTTTTTCTCTTGTCTCTTGCTAAAAATACCCAGCTGCTGAAGTGTGGAAATACCAGTGCTCACAGAGTGTTTTGGGGCAGTGCTTTTGCTTTCATGTCTGTACCTTGGATAGTTTCAGTTATGGATTGTGTGTGGTCAGTGCCCAGAGAAGATCCACCATGGTCAGCAGCCGTATTTCCCAGAACTTGTAGTAGGGAGAAGTTCCCAGTCAGTGTGGCTGTCCCTGAGTGGAGCTGCTGCTTTGCACTCCTGAGCAAGCCTTACCTGCTCCAGTTCTCTCTATGCAGAAGAGAGAGGTTTTTCTGTGAAAGCAGAGTGTACGCAGTCCAGTGATGGTGTTGATCCTCTGCTCCTGCAGATATTCAATGAACTGGACCAGGCTGGCTCCTTGCTGGCCAAAGAGATCCTGGCAGATGGGCTCCCCGTGCACAATGGGAAAGGAGATGTTCGTAAATGCCCCTATTACGCAGCTAACCAGGACAAAGGTAGGTCTTATATGTCCCGAGCTCCCCTCCCGGGGTGGGTATGTCAGCATTCCCACTGATGCCATGTCCCCTGTTGGTGCTGCCACGCAGGTGCCCTGGAGGGTAGAAGCTGTCCCTTCGGAACAGCCCTGGCTATGCTGAGCAAGCCCAGCCTCCAATTCATTCTGGCCACTAGTGTGGCCCTGGCTGCTGGTCTGTTGGCCTGGTACTACATGTGAAAGACCCATCACATCACATTGGCGCCCTCCTCCTGAGTGACTGCTGGCTGGTCCCACCTCCACCTGTGTCAAAACCACCACCCCAGGTGACTTTAAAAAAGATGGGTCTGAGAAAATCAACCAATAAAAGCCAGACACTAAAGCCTCTGCCTGTTAGTGTCCTCTGCGGGCCAGACACTGAGCTGGGTACAGGCCCACCCTTCCTGTAGCCATCCAGGCTATAGCACTGGCAACAGCCTGTGCAGCTCAGTGGACCTGCCTGGGCCTCTGGAACCAGCTCTGCTCCTGGGTGCCCACACCTCTCACCCTGAGCTTTGCTCCCTTCGTTCTTCCTGCTGTGCCAGTACTTAGGTGGATATTTTTCCCCTGCTGAGAGTGGAACAGCCAGCCAGGCCAAGGCTAGGCTGCTACAGCTCTGTGGGAGGGAGGAGGCCCCCAGATGCTCCTACTGTACTAGGAGGCTCGCCTGGGGGTACGGTGGGGAGACAGAAGCCAGGTTGGCACCCTGCCTCCAAGGCCCTGTCTCCTCCTCTGACCTGTGTCATGCTACAGCACTCAATAAAGTGGACTCTTGACAGCTGCCTCTCCTTCCTGGCACATATGTCATCCCTGATAGCCCCCTCCTGCTGTGCTCCCAAGACTGCTAGTTACCTTATAAATAAGCATAAAAAAACATGTATTATATAACAATTGATTGTCTAAAATAGAAATGTGAACTTAATATTTTTATTAATAGGAATCTATTGTTTTATATAATTGAGGATCTGAATGTTTTATTCACAAAAGGGTTAAATGGTGGGGGAACTGTTTCTGTAACTACTGACTAAGCCCACCTACCTCCACAATTCAGATGAGGGTAGGGTCAGAGCTGGCCCAGAACCTGGGTGCTCAGACTATCTGCCCACCAGAAGCCTTAGCCCCAGTCGCTCTGTCTTGCCCAAGGGAGTGAAACTACCTGCTTCTAGGGGAGGATGACCCTGAGCTTGAGCTTGGGGGGGGGAGGGGGGAAGAGAGGCTCCAGCCTACAGATCCATGTGTGGACATGGATAAAACCAGTATCAGAGATAGTAAGGTAGTTAATACATGCTCTGGCCCAGTCAAAGCTGGAATACCAGGGCTTGTCCACACTAACTCTGGCTTGGCTTAATTAGGTACTTAAATGTCAGTGTCATCCCTGGCAGTCGGTATAGCATAAGCACTGAGACCCTGAAGACTCGACCCCCTGCTCTTAGACTACCTGTAGCCCCCCACCCTCTTTCCTTTGCAAAAGAAGGAAGCCAGGCAAGAGAGCAGAGGCCCAGGGCAGGGGAGTGAAAGGACCAATTTAATGAGAAACTACAAACAGACCGGCCACAATTCACAGTGAGAGAAGGCCATGCAGTGGCAGTGTGAGACCAGGAGAGAGGGGTGGCAACAGGGTATAGCAGTCCACAGGAGCAAGTTCACAAACCATTCAGAAAATAAAGACAGCATGGCCTCAGGCCCAGGGCAGGGGTAGTCCACCAGGGTACTTCGGCCACTGTGGTTGCTCTTTCCTGGTCCCCAATCCAGTGCTACATTCGCTCCTGCTGTAGTGCCTGAAGCAAGCACAGTGACAGTCAGTCAACCTGGATGAAGGGCCCAGCATTCACTAGAAGAGGATCCATGGAGAGAGCACTGTAAATCTTGAGTGCCTGCAGGGAGAGGCCCTATCTGCCATCTCTGGTCCCAACTGGGATACACCAGCCGCCAGGCAGAGGTCATGCCCACACGCAGCAAGGACATGATATGGACAGAGGGGCTAGATTCCTGGACATTCCTTCTGGCACCAGTAAAGAGACGTTCACGGAGGCATTGCCAGAAAGGGAGCTAGGCAGGGGCCAGAGGCAAGTCCTTTGGTGAGCCTGGGCCCAATCACTTATCCCATGAACTGCAGTTGTGCTGACCTCTCTCTTATTCCAGGTGACTTCTGGGCACTTGGACAAGGTGTTGAGTTCCTGAGAGTTCTGAGGGCCAGAATCATTCCTTGACAGTCATGTCTACCTCTGTCACTCCAGAAACAAACACTGGCCTTATGATCCTGTCCTGTTTGGATTCATGTCCCCACTCTTGGCCCAGCAGATCAGAAACTGTGGCTACAGGCACAGCCCCACTGTAGGCCCAGGTCTGGAAAACCAACCATTGCTCTGGCTGCTTTTGGTCCCAGGGAGAATCAGGACCAAACTAATACTTCATACAAAAATGGAGGAGTGAGACTCCAGCAGGGAGACCCTTCCCAGTTTATCTTTCTAATCAAACACCAAGCAAACCAGCAACATACATGCTCAGTGCCAGCTCCCTGCCACTCGCTGACCCTTGGCCTTAAACCCAACAGAATTTTTGCTGGAAGAGTCAGATGCTTAGGGAAGGGCAAGGCAAAGACAATAAGAGTTCCAGGGGACCAGTGAAACAGCGTCCACCCCCAAGTGGGAGTGGGGCCATGAGCCACTGAGCATGGGGAGCAAAGCACAGGGGTCCAGACTGACAGCGGGGAGTCCAGTCCAGTCTCCATTAGCATAGGCGCTTGTACGTGTAGATGTAGGCTTTGCAATTGGGGCATGTGTGCATCACATCCTTGAAATCGTTGATGAGGCAAGGGATCAAGCAGCAGCCCAGGTCACACCTGAATCAGAGATGGGGAGGCCTGAAGAGAAGGTGCCGAGGGTACTGGGCCTACTTCAGCTGGGTGGTGGGCAAGTGCAGCCCCCACCCTGCAAGCACTCATACCTACCCCATGAAGCAGCAAAAGAAGCCCAGCACGAAGTTCATCAGGCCAATCTCATAGGAGATCTTGGTGATGATGGCCTGCTGGCACTGGGGACACACCGTCTGTACAGGTGCGCCTTCAAAGATCTCTCCCTGCAGCACGGTCACTGTGGAGGAAGCACCTGAAGGGACCAGGACTGTGGCTGTGTGACCCCCAGGGCCAGGGTAGGGCCCTGGTGGGTAGGGCCCTGGTGGGTAGTAGCCCATGGATGGATGGGGGCCTGGAGGAGGGTAGAAATCTGAAATGGCACAGAAGACAAAGCAGACAGGTCACTGGCTTGTCACCTGTGCTCAAGTGAGAGGTAAGCACAAAGCCCCAAAGCCCCAAACACCCAGGACACAATTGAGGGACCAAGCCCTGGGCCAAGGTGACCATCCACATTCCAGCCCTTCCTTGTCCCCACCCCATGAGGACCAAAACAGAGAAAATACTTGACCCAGCCAGATGAGACAGAGCTGAGAACAGGCCCACTCTTCCCCTCGGTCTCAGCTTGATGCATTTGCTCCCCTGCCCCTGACACACAGAGCACTGTGCTCAAGGACCTCAACCACAGGAAGGAAAGCCTCACCGCGCACCAGCCCCTTTTGTGCACACAGGACTCTTCCTCACCAGTGTTAGGTCCTGTACTGCAGTGCCACTTGACCCACCTGACCTGGGGACACCTGTGCAGGAACCTGGGCCCTTTTCTGGCCTGAGCAGACCCTCTGAAGAGCTGCTGGGTGAGCAGGAGACCATGGACTCAAATATCTGGCAGGGAGTGGCCCCTGTAGCACTCATGAGTCCATACCACCTGCCACTGTGCCTGAGGAGCCTTCCCACGAGTCAACCCTCCTGGCAGGGCCCTGAGCTCCTCTGGCTCGTCCACAGTGCCTTCACAGCACGGCCTGGTTCTGTGACACCTTCCCATGCCAACCTTCCATGCCCACAATCAGTCCCCCTGCTTCTACCAACAATAAACACCCAGAGAGGACGCCAGCCTGCATGCAGCAAAGGCTGGACAGCAGCCCTGCTGTGCTCGGCTGACCCCTGTGCTTCCTTGGGATCTCTCTCCAACTTACCTGGAGGCATGTAGGCGCCATCTGCATTCACATGTGGGGGGATGAAGCCGGGCTGGGGCACTGGGTGACCTGGCGGTTCATAAGGTGGGGGGCCAATGTCTGCAGGAGGCAGCGACATGCCTGGTGGGGGCTGCATCACAGCAGGGGAGGATCGGCCTGGACAGAATCCGGGAGAGGAAGCTCAGAGGGCCCAGCCGCACTGTCAGTGGGAGGGCTGCTCCAGGCACAAGTTCAGCAGCTGGGACGGGCGAGGGAAGGAGGCCCCCCGGGCGGGCGCACTGAACCTACCTGGGGTGGGCGGAGCTCCGCTTTTCTCCTCCAGAAGTGGAGCTGTGGGGCCTCCAGGGTAAGGAGGGGGCGGGTCATTAGACATCTTCAGGCTTCTGAACCTGGAGGGAAAACTGGGAAGTGAACTATGCTCCCAGCTCCCCTACTGCCAGTCAAGCACTGATATGTCACGAGGGGCTGCTGCACAAGGTGTGTGACAGTTCTCAGAGAGCCACCCTCATTAAGCCCAAGCACACAGGGCCTCCTGTGGCTCCTATTGCAGGTGTCCCCTGCTTTCAGGGCTCAGGTCACCTTTTACTCCCTTCCATGTAAACCACACTGGGCAGAGCAGGGCTGATGGGTTTGGACTGGTTTCCTTCAGGAGCGGTAACAGGCTCCCTCTAGATCCTGGAGATGCCCCGCACTGCAGGGGTAATCAGCCCAGAGCCTCCAACCTCATCTCTCCAGAAGCTACTCACCTCGGTGGTCACCTGCATTTCCTGTGTGGAATCCAGAGGGTGAGGGCGGCAGGGTGAGCTGGCCAGAAGCTGGTGAGGTGAGCACCCCGTCCCCCATGGCGAAACTAATCTAGGGCTCCCTAGTGCAGCTTGGGCACTGGCCCTCTCCCCTAACATTCAGGGAGTGCTGTGCCAGCCTCTGTGCCAGGGCACTGTGACCTCTTTGTGGGAGGGGATCTGGGAGACTTTTTACCTCAAATCCCAGGTACTCAAGAGTTGGTAGACAGGTGAGGTTCCTTCCAGTGCTGGCCTGGCTGGACGGACACACAGGGCTCTGGGGAGCTGTTTCAGGGGGAGATTGGGCAGTTCCCTCAGCACTGGGCTGGACAACTGGCCTCCATGAAGCCACTCTCCCCCTCATTCATCTGGTCTCCCACCCCCCTGCTGCCCAGCACACTACCCTCCCTCATACCTCCCACTCCTCAGGTCCCCTTTCCCCTTCTCACAGCTGCTCTCGGCTATGGCTAGTCCAATGCATCTTCTCCCCACTGGGCCCAGACCAACGCCCCCAGGAGGGGCTCTCAGAGCCAGCTGTGCATAGTGGTGTCTCTGCCCTTCTTTGTTTTGTTAGGTGAATGGGGTGGGAAGGAAGAGGGTGCCAGTTAAGTGAAACACTTTTCCTCATTCCCTTCACAAGGTTCACTGAGCACTAGTTTACATCCTAAACAGTACAAAAGAACCAGTGAAAGCAGCTCCCCTAGTGTATGTAGCTCCCTCGTAGAGCCCACCAGTGTTTAGTTCAGAACCATTCAGTGATGGAGGGCCCCAAATAATCCTGCCAGGGGAGAAGGAACCTGCAGTCACTAAGTTTAAATATTAAATCTAATGAATCAGTGTCAGGGCCAGAGGGACCAAATCCAAGCAACAAAAGACAAAGATAAATTCAATTTCATTAAAATTAAAAACTGTGCTTCAAAGGACACCATCAAAAAAGTGGAAAGACAACCCACAGAATGGAGGAAAATTTTTATAAATCATATATCTGCTAAGGGACTTGTATTTAGACTATATAAAGAACTCTTCTAACTCATTAACAATAAGACAACCCAATTAAAAAATGGGCAAAGGATCTGAGTACACATTTCTCCAACGATAAACAAATGCCCAATAAGCACATGAAAAGAGGCTGAACACTGTTAGCCAACAGGGAAATGCAAATCAAAACCACATGAGGCACTAAGCTAAAATGAAAAGGACAGTAAGAGATATTATGTAAAGAAACTGGAACCCCCACACATTGCTGGGTTGAGGTGGAGGGCTGTGAAAATGGTGAATCTGCTGTAAAAATGTCTTGAGTTACTACATGCCCCAGGAATTCCACTCAAGAGAATTGAAAGACAGTGTCCAGCGCTAGCCCGTTTGGGTCAGCGGTTAGAGCATCAGAGAGAAAGAGAAACATTGATGTGAGACATACCAACTTGCTGCCTCCTGCAGGCGCCCAACCGGGGCTGGGGATTGAGCCTGCAACTGAGGTGCATCTGGGAGGCAACCAATCTATGTGTCTCTCTCATATCGATATCTCTCTTTTTCTTTCTTCCCCTTCCACCCTCTGAAAAACAATGGAAAAAATATCCTTGGGTGAGGATTTTAAAAAAGAAAAAAAAAGTGTACACGCAAAAATTTGCCCGTGAATGTTCACAGTAACATTCATCATAGCCAAAAAGTATAACTCATGTTCATCAAGTGATAAATGGATAAACGATCTATCCATACAGTGGAATATTATTTGGTCACAAAAAGGAATGAATTATTGACACTACAACATGGATGAATCTTGAAAACATGCTCAGTGAAAGAAGCCAGACACAAAGGACCACATATTTTATGATTCCTTATATAAAACATACAGAACAGGCAAATTCATACAGAGAGAAATATTTTGTCTGTATGGATTTAATGGCTGCCAGGGGCTGTGGGGGTGGGTGGGCAGAGAATGGCGAGTGTGGGGTTTCCTTTTAGGGTAATGAAAATGTTCTAAAATTGGCTAATGATGGTTGCCAATTCTGTGAATATACTAGAACCACTGAATTACATACATACATTAAGTGGGGAAACTGTACAGTATATGATAAAACATTTAAAAACGGGAAGAAAACAAAATTGCTCAATTTTATCAGCCTAATGCAGCCAGTCTCTCTGCATGTCCCTGCCAGTCTGTATGCACAGGCACCTATATTTTTATATAATGGCTGTCATGACAGTTTAAAATCCTTTAACGTCATATATTTCCTCCATCTTGCAAGATCCCATGACCAATTTTAATATTCCCTAAAATGGGCCCATCACTGTTTACTTGACTGACTCCTAAGGCATTTAGAATGCTACTTGTTACTTTCATTAAAAGAAAAACAAACAATGTTCTTTCCATTTCTTGAATTACATCTTTGGGCTAAACTTGCCAGAAGTGAGATTATAGGTCAAAGGGTATCATTATGCCTTTAGTGAAGGATGATGCTAGTTGACAGCGCAAACCTTGGATACTGCTGTTACAATCTGTAATGTTAAAATGACATTTGGTTACTTTTACTCTGACCACCATGAGGCAGAACACCTTCCCAAGTGTTTATAAAGTATACGCCTGCTCTTGTGAGTTGCTGGTCATAATTATCCTCTGGAGACATGGAGGCCCAGAAAGGGCAGGACTTGCCTGAGGTCACATGGTGTATTATATTAGAGACAGAACGAGTCTAGGACCCTGAGTGACTCTCCTATCCCCCACTCCCGGTGACAGGTGAATGCAGGTGAATTCCAACAACCCAGGGCCCAGACGGGGAGCAGCAGAGCCTCTAGAGAACACCACAAAAGGTCCCCACTTCCAGGCAAGAGCCACTGCCAGCCCATCAGGCATCCTCCTAATGGGAGAAAAAGGAGCCTGCCTTAGAGGCTTGAATGGTATCTGTGGAAAACTAATACACCAGGTCTGTTGGAACATGGGCCAGCGCCTGCCACAAACTCCCATCCTGTGTCCATCTGGGGTTCCTCTGTGGTGCCACCACTTTCCACCACACAGCCCCGGCTCAACAGGGAACTGGCCAGGCCAGGAAGAAGAGCTGCACTGTGCTAGATGAGTCACTGGAGCACCTTCTGGTACTAGGTGAGAGGAAGTAACCTGGGTACAACAAGCCCCTCCATTACCAGGGAGCATGTGCATACACACATGTGCACACAACAGGCATCACTTCTGAGGATGCAGGCATGACCTGCTTTTTCATCAAAATCACTAGATCTAATTCTGTTGTCTCCCAGAGTGCAAGAATTCTACTTCTGGGATTCTACCATCATAATGATGGTACACAGAGGATAAAGGCCTCGTTTGGTGTCCACCCAACCCTGAGCCATCTCTGTACCTACAGGAGGCACTGCTACAGGCCACACAGACACTCGGAACATGCACAGGGGCACTTCTACTCCAAGCACTGACCACATGCACCAAAACCCCTTCCCTTGGGGAGCAGGGCCCGGCTGCTCCTCTGTCTCCTCCCCTTCACATCCACACTCGTCCTCTAGCTACCTTCCTGAACTGTGGCAGAGACTGGGGGGGTGGGCCCCTTTGATATGAAGGAGAGAGGTTTCTGAAAAATGGCTCATGAAGGTTTCCAGAATTCAAACCCCAGCCCCCCCCCCGCCATTATAAAACCAAATGTGCATTTCCACAAAACTCCATTGTCTAAGGTGCGATAAAAACTACAGGAATGCAATATTTTTTAAAAGTCACATGTCTAAAAGCCAGTTTTCCAATAAAAATGCATACTACACAAATTAAGCTACAAATACAAATGTGGTCTCGAGATCTCAGCTCCTGCAACTTCGCTGTTGGGCAGGTGCCAGAGTGTGGGTTATGAAAAGCTAAGGAAGGGGCCATGAGACCTGTGGGTTTGCAGTTCCCAGCAGAGGAGAGCAAAGCCTGAGTCCTGGGAGCTCAGTGAAGTCAACTCGCAGCGCCGGAAACCCATGACGGGCCTCTCAGCCTCTCATTTAGACCTCATAGCTATGAACTGTGAAGAAATAGGGAATTGTCTGAAAACTTTCACAAGTTTATCATTAAGCAGAACAGGAGCTCCTCTGGGGCCCAAAGGACTTTACACAGTACACCCCTTTACACCCTCTGGGTTTTGTGGATACGAAGGTATTACCCAGTCAAAATAATAAAAAAATACAAAGAAATTATCTCAGAACAGAGCTAGGGACCCAGCTGAGCGCTCAGCAGCTAAGCAGCCGATGAAGTGCTGACCCCCAGCAGCACACAGGTGTGAGGACACAGACACACGACCCTGGGGCTCAGCCTCCACCCTGCCTCATGTTTCATGAGCGCACAGCTCTCCCTGACTCACCCGGGAGCGTGGGGGCAGAGGTGTTCTCAGTGAGCGGACGCATGAAATGAGAGAAAAGTTTTAAATGAAGTCCTTGTGTAACAGCACTGGCACACCTCTCCGAGGCCCACCGAAGTGTAGCAACAGTCACACCCAATACGAGCTGAGAGGAACACACTTCTCTTCCAAGCCTTGCAGGGTTGCACAAGTCCCATAGTCATCACCGAGGAAGTACCTCAGGGTAATCCTCACACCACCGTCAGAATCAGGTTGGCGTTCCCTGGGCGCCAGCTAGGGGGGTGACGCTGAACAAGTATGAACCCAGTCCTCAGACCCGCCTCCGGGCAGCTCTTGGGCATCTCCATTTTACAGAAAGTCAACCCAGCTCAGTTACATGCCCAGAGTCAGATGGCTTTGCAAGTCAAAATTTTAGATGTTTCCAAGGAATTCCTCTGAGCCTTCAATTCCTAGTCACCTGTTTTCAGGCAGTTCTGGGGGAGCTGGGAAATTTCCCACTTAGCACTGGAAAAAAGCGATGCGCTGTTGTCCCAACCCCCATGGCTCCTACTTTAGAAGTCACTGGCCCTTGGGAAACAGAGCCGCTCCAGAATATGTGTAGGGCAGAGGCTGGGTTTCTGGAGCTTTGAGGATCTAACTGACAAAGAAGATCAATGTCCCCTTGACTGTACTTTCAGGTTGAGGCCCAGCCTGGAAGGAATAGTCTAGGGCCAGGAGGCAGCCTGGGATGGGCAGCTGATGCGTTAGAAGGCTCAAGACTCCCGAGAAGGCACTGTGGGAACTTGAGTGCACACTGTAAGCCGGCAGCGTCCCCATGCTGTTCACTGTAGTTCACATCACAGGCCTTCGTTCTTGAGGGATCAAGGTAACTCTTTGGACAAAGATGGCCACGGGGTGAGGTCCAGGGGAGCTGGGGATAGACTTTGGTGAGCCTCAAGGGACAGGGGTGGTGTGTTTAGGAGAGGGAGGCCATGGGTGGCCTCTGGGACCCTTATAGGGGAGGGAGGAGAGGGTGAGCTTGCATATGCCCCTTGGTCCACTGGGGGGTGGTACGGGGGCCACTTAAGGCCCAATCTGTTCCCTGCACCCACAACCAAACACACTGAAGCACCCACTGTGCTTTTACATAGGGCATTATTCCGGTCACCATAAAATGAGATGAAGCCTTTCTCCACTTCTGTCCATGGACCCACCACCTTCCCACTCCCTACTGCAATCTCATTGCACCTTCCCAAGGGCACAGGCTTCTGGGGGTCCGGGTAGGGCAGGACAGTTCTGCCAGGCACAGGGCCAGGCACTTTCTGCAAAGCCACACCCTCCCCACCCTCCTCAGCCCAGCAGCCACTGCAGAGCCTGGGCCTACTCAGTGCTCAGGGCAAGTCTGTTGCAGAGTGGAAACTTCTGCTCTGCACCCCAGCATTGGAAGCCCAGCTTCAGCCCCTCCCTCTCTGGAGCCTTCATACAGCTCTACCATCAGCCATGTCACAGAGACTAATCAGGCCTCATATACACAGAGCAACTCTTGAGTTTCTTCCAGGTGAGCTGGGAGAGACCTGGTGACGGTTTTCCCAGGTGTGAGGATGACAATGATGTTCTGGGCCTCCTGCTGTGGGTTTTAGGGTTTTGGGCCATGAAACTGCAAAACTGCTTCATAACCTGCCACCTCAAACCCAATCCCAGGCCTCATCTTTATCCAGCACACTACTCGAAGCAGACACTGAAGAATGTAACGGCTCCAAGGAAAGGGTTCATCTTCCAATGTGAGGCCAGGATGGCAAGAGCCCAACTCACCCCCGTCTCCCATTCATAGAGGAGCAAGGATTGGTCAGTCCACCAGTTAACAGGAAAACAAGGAGAGCAGGGAGCTCCAGTCACACAGTCCTGGCCTTGACGGGTGAATCACGGACCCTCCCTGAGCCCGTCTTCCTGGGGACCTGGGACCAGGACCCCTGCCTCCTGGCTGGCTGCGTGCGGAGCAGTGATAATGACAACACCTGGCACCTGCAGACGTGCTGGGCAGGGGAGGCGGCTTTAGGGTGAAAACACATGTACTGGGGTCACGAAAATGCTCCTGAATTAGGCAGCGGTAATGGCTGCACATCTCTCTGACAGAACCACTAAACTGCGTGCACACTTTGAAAGGGTGAATTGTATGGCTTGTGAATTACATCTCAAAAAACCCCAAACCCATCAGGTCTAGACAGTCCTCTGTATGTATGTGCAGATATAGAGAGATGGCGAAGAGACACCCTGACCGAAACCTCGCCTCTGGGATATAGAAGCTTGACAGAGAGGCAAGGCTTTCCTTCGTTACGCTTTTATTTATTTTTAACGAGAAGGTATTTGTATATTATTTGCATAATTAAAAATAAAATTTTGAAAGAATACTATTGTATGATAGATCAGTGGGGGGCAGCTTTGATTCCTGGTGACACAAGGAAAAGGGACAGGGTCTCTGACTGTCAGTGCCCGATTTCAGCTTCTCTCTCCTCTGGGTCTCCCCATTTCCCAGAGAGGAGTCCAAAGTACAAGACCTCTGGGCCCTGGGAAGACCTCTGGCATTCTGCTCTGCTCCCAACTATTCATCACTCACCACAGAGGACACTGTTGTTGATCCAGGGCCAAAGCCAGGCCAAATGGCAGCCTAGGGCAGCCCAGGCAGGTTCCTGGTGGGAGCTGGGAGGGTCTGGGTCCTTGTCAGCAGGATAAGATCCTCACAGGCTACAGCCACTGCTGCAGACTCGATTCTGCAGCGTCAACTGTCCTGCATACTGCCATGGGGGTGCCAACCCTGCCAGTCCCCCAACCCCGTCTCTTACCCCAGACAGGACCTGTCATGAAAATACACCAACACTTCCTTCTGGAGGAAGGCCCAGTCTGAACACATGAGTGGGTACCCCTGGAGGACTGAGGATGGACGCCTAGGAGGAGGGCTTTCTAACATCAGTTTCCGGCAACGTCTGCTAGAACAGTGGATTTGAAACCTTTTGGGCAGGAGCCCCTTTACACTTAATTACTCAGGACTCCAAAATGAATGTTTTGTGGGTTATGTCTATCAGTACTTACCATATTAGAAAGAAAAAATGAGGCCCTGGCTGGTTTCACTCAGTGGTTAGAGCACCAGCCCGCGGACCAAGGAGTCTTGGGTTCGATTCCCATCGAGGGCATGTACCTGGGTTGGAGGATCCTTGCCCCATGTGTGTCTCTCCCATTGATGTTTCTCTCTCTTTTTCTTCCCCTCCCTCCCTTCTACTCTCTCTCAAAAAGAAAAACAAAACAAAAAAAATAATAATGAGGAATTTTTTAAAGTATTTATTGGTTCATTAAAAATAATCTCATGACATGTTAACATAAATAACATTTTTAAATAACTACTTTCTGAAACAAATTTAATGAGAAGACTAGCCTTGTTTTAGATTTTTGCAAACCTTTTAAATGTCTGGCTTAAAAGGAGACAGCTGGCCTCTATCTGATTCTCTATCCAATCTGTTGTGATGAGTGGTTTTGGTTGTAGTACTTGAGGAAAATCCAGCCTCCAACAGACAAGTAGTTAGAAAAGGGAGGAGCATTTGAGTAGTCTTTTCAGATATTTGTAGATATCCTTCCATACTATACCCAAATTTGACAAGTGGTAGTTTTCTGGGTTTTTTTAAAAAATAGTTTATTGATTTTTTTTTAGAGAGAAAGGAAGGGAGAGGGAGAGAAACTTTGATGTGAGAGCGCAACATTTCCTGGCTGTCTCCAGCACACTCCCCACTGGGGACTGAGCCCACAACCCAGGAAAGTGCCCTGAGGAATTGAATCGGCGACCTCCTGGTGCATGGGACAACTGAGCCACACCTGCCAGGGCACTCAGTGCTACTTTCTTAAAGGTTGCAATATGAAGCCTGAATCCTTAACAATGAATTTTTCTTATTCTGTTACATTAAAATTCATTGGTCTACCTTGATTGTAATGGATATTTTACACGTGCATGATTTTGTAACAGCACGCGTGGATCACTGGAAAATATTAGTTCACAAGTATAAGCCTTAAGCCCCGCTTATGCAGATTTAGCAATGTTGGCACATCTCATTATGTAATATCCCCACTGCTAAATCCTTAAGTCTGAGTAACCATAGTATGTGTGTCAATTGTTCAGTGAGCATGGAGCCCAAGGGAAGTTACTCCATCAGCTCCCAACTCAAACTGCACCTGTGCGACACCGAGGCAGCCAGCATTCTTCAGGTGTCTGCTTTCTGTGTGCCTCACACTGCATCACACAGAATACTGAAAAGTTGTGTACTCAAGCCTGGCTGGGCATGACTCAGCAGCTGAGCATCGACCTGGGATCCAGGAGATCTCGGTTCGATTCCCGGTCAGGGCACAGGCCCGGGTTGTGGGCTCCATCCCCAGTCGGGGGCGTGCAGGAGGCAGCTGATCCAATGACTCTCATAATTGACATTTCTCTCTCCCTCTCCCTTCCTCTCTCTGAAATAAAATATATATATATATATA